AAAAAGAAGGCAACAATGAGATTCTTGATTTGCTTCTTCTCCTATTGCAAACTGGTTTGTCTCTGGTGTATCTTTCTTTTGATTTCTGTTCTGTCACGATGGTGCTCCAAGAGTCCGCTCCTCAGTGGTTGTACCTAAACCATGTTTGTTTCATTGGATATCTCATTTTCCTCTTACACCCTGATCTCTCCGTCCTCACCACACAGCATGGCCAACCACTGGAGGAGCACAAAGCACAACAGCAGGCCACAGTCATAGCAGAACACAGGCAGAAAACTGTGATAGCAGGCTCTGTAATAACACCAGGCCCAAGCCAGCAGGAACTGCAGCAGGTGTGTCAAAGGAGTATGGGGGAACAAAAGAGGAAACCCCCCGAGGCACCAGAGGATAAAAGAACCTATTTAATCCTGAACTGAACACTGACAGATGCAAAATGATAACTATGGAATCCGTTAACACGAAGCAGCCCCCAGCACACCAGAACAGGATGGCAACAAAGGAAAGAACATCCAACAGGAACAGACAGTGGAAAAGGAGGAATCGAGTGTGTCCAGGCAGGCTGGCAAGGCAGTTCACCAGTTCCTGGGGAAGATATTAGATTTTCAGAAATTATAGTATGGTTTTGCTATTTCCCTATAATCCCTTTTAATCTTTATAGTGTAAGAGTTAAAGACCCATCTAATTTCATCAGAGCCCGTGGGACTGGCAGATCAAGGAGTCAAGACCACGACCCCAAGCTGAGAGCCTCCAGCCAGGCCACTCGCACTCTGGGTAACTGGCCATGACTTGTCTTAACATCCCTGGCCCAAAGAACCTGCCTTTGTCCCAGAACTGCCCCGTTCAGTCCGCAGCATGGTCACCTTGGCCCCACCACCTTTCGTACCTCCATCCCCATCTTTAACTCTTTCCTGTGGACCTTTTCCATGGGCTTAGCATCTGATGGCCTCCGACTTCCTGCAGCTCTTGCTGATTCTTTTCTCTGATTAATCTCTTCATAAAGAACGCCATCTTGTGTTCCAATGTCTGCTCTTTCTGTTAACTTTACGTTGGGTAGCACACAGGGTTAAACACAACTCTGGTCAGTAAATCCTGGTTCTATCTTTGCTCACTGACCCTAGGCAAAATCCACATGTGGTCTCCCTAGATTTCATTTTCCTTATCTGCAAGACTGCTACATAATATACCAATACTAATAAGTGGACACTCCACCTGCAACTGCACAGAGCAGATGTTCCTCAGTGAGCTGTTGGTAATATGTTCTATTTGTTGCCTTTACCCCTTTCGACCTCTTATTCCTCCTTTCTCCTCTCTTCCTTCTCTCACTCCTCTCCTCTCACTTTTCTCAAGTATCCACATCTTCTTCATATCTGCATCCCTGTCTTGCCCGGTCTCTCTTACATGGCTGCCTTTCTCTGTGAATATTCTTGTCCTTGAACACCATCCCCCCCTACTTAAAAAGCTTCCTTCTTCCATACACCAAGATCTCTCCTTTGACGTGTTTGGCCACAGCCCACCATTCCTAGCCTCACAGCTCCACACTGAAGTCTCCTAACTCCTCCTCAGATTTGATTCCACCTCGCCACGTGCATGGCAAATCTCCTTGCCTACTCCAAAGTGCTCTCGATTCCACTCGGAGCAGGTCCACTTTGGAATCAGTGCAAATGACCTCGTCTACTCCCACACCCCTCCAGCACGCTCCCCAGCAGGAGGGCAGTCTGCCCTCCAGAGTGCAGGTCCTGTCGTCCCTTTCTCTTAGTAGACAGAGAACAAAGCTTTTGCCACATAATACCTCTTTCACATTTGGCTGAATGCCTGTGCATTTTTGTGTTCCTCTTTCCATCACTTTTCAAATGGGGAGAATATTTGTCTTGACACTGAACACATAAAAATATAATTAAGTCTGCAGGCAAGTGATCAGGGACACCACCTCATGATAACAGAACGACAGGTATGTATCTTAGTAATTCAATGGGGAATTCTACCTTGAGTCAGTCTGAACTCAGTAGTTATGGTTGCCCTTCCCCTGGACAACCAAGAACGGGCTAAAAAAAAACAAGAAAAAAAACACGAAATCTTACAGGTGGGAGCCTCTGGTTTAAAAGGATGATAGATCATGAAAAATTGAAATAATATTAAATCATCCAGAAGATGACAGAGAGGAATGAAAGCTTATCTCCAATCATAAATTCGTAATGGCATCTCTGTGACTGCACAAACTTTAGGGAAAAACAGAGATCCTAGAATTCCATGTACGGTAAACAGAGAAGCCGAACAATCTTAAGGTGGGGCTAGAAAAGGAGAGTTTTTCGCTAATTGACAGAAGGTGGAGAGGTTGCCAAAGACAGAGGATACCATGGAGGAGCCTAACAGACTTCCCCAGATCCAGAACAAAGAAAAGACTACAGAAACTCCAAAGCAATCATATTTGATACTGAGGGGTGTTCCATGCCTGGAGTCAGGGACCCAGGGGCTGCCAGTGAGGGGAGGCCAAGCACCAGCTCATTATATTCACACTGCCTAGCTCTAGGCTGGCCACATAAGCATTTCATGAATACGTTTTAAGATGAGGGCTGAGCCCAATGAATGAATGAAAATGACTGGACCCAAAAAGAGGGGAGAGAATTGATTACCATTTTGAAGCTTTGATAACTCAATTAAATCAGGATATTCCTTCAGGTTAAACCTGCTGAACAGGATCTTCTAGAAGTGAATCATCAATCTCTTCTCAGGTGCAGAGAACATTGAACACCACCCTCGGTACAGGAACATAAGTTTTTTGCAGGCTCATGAGAATCCTTTGTTGAAAGTTAATGGAAAAGAGTCAAAATAACATTTCAAATTAAACAAGACCACCCAGGAAGTAATGCAAGAATTTGCTCCGTTTTCTCCGTGCAGGTGACTATTTTTCATGTAACATTTTACGAACTAATATATTGACACTGCTAAAAAACAAGGAAACCTTCCTTTTGACTTGAACTTCATCCACCTAGGCTGCTTCAGGAATGGATAGGACAGAATATTTCCCTTTGGTTGATGCACCATGCAATTGCTTGCCCACTGCCCCCTTCCCTAGGATGAATCTGTATGCTGCAGGAATTGGGGAAATGGTTCCCTTGCGTAAAGAACATAAAGATGAGCACAGCCACACTGAGGACCGGCTTGCTTCCCTATGTCTTCCAGAGTTCTGTTATCAAATTACTTAATCCACAGCTCCGACCCATCTAACAGAAATGTAAACACTTTGGAAGAACAACAGGAAGGCAGAAATATTCAATTTATAATGGCATGAATTCCCCCAGGATTGCAACCTACATAAGTGACATTATAATATAAATGACTGCTCCGGTCCTCACCTAATTCTTTAATTTTATTTTTTGATGTTGTATAAATCACTAGCATTTGCCAGAGCATAACAGTTCAATTACAGCCCACCTCACCGTCGACCATCCACTCCATCCCAACACTTCCTACAAAGAGAGGCCTTCAGTTAGAAACAGAAGTATCTACCGGTGCGGTGGCTCACATGCTGTATCCTAGCACTCGGAGGCTGTGGCGGGCAGTAGTCCCAGCTACTAGGAGCGAGCAAGAGGATTGCTAAGCCCAGGAGTTGGAGGTTGCTGTGAGCTAGCTGATGCCACGGCACCTAGCCCGCCCAGGCAACAGAAGTGAGACCTGTCCAAAAAAAAAAAAGAAGAAGAAATCAGAAATCTTCAATGACACGTTGCCCTGTCACTTTGGCCCTTACAGGATGATTACCTAACAGAAAGAGTCTTCCCGTGAAAGGCATAAAAGGCCATTTAGGCGTTTGCGACATACTGAAACTTTGAACCCAAGAGGCTAAACATAATTACTAGGCTGGATTATGAGGGCAATGCAATAACTTCACTTACAGTATAATTTTATTGGTGATAAAGAGCCGGTCTCTGAGGCTTTCGAGAAAGGAAACAGCTTTGTTATTGCACTTGCTATCTTCGCCTTATTTTCCTTGAAGTGATTGAAAAAATCTCATTGTTGAACTGTTTCTTCTGGAGGACTGCAAACATCTTAGGAAAAAAATACAATGAGAAAATAAAAATCAAGATTTCAACATGCTTTTTCCAGTCGAAAAAAAAAATCCAGTCAGATGACTTCACTTGTAAATCTTCAAAACATACATTTAAGAAAGGAATTACAATGTTACATAAACTCTTTCAGTGAATAAAGAAGAGGAACATGCCCCGAGCTTCTAAAGGACAGCAAAATCCTGATATGGCTGGTTTTGAACTCCTGACCTTGAGCAATCCGCCCGCCTCGGCCTCCCAAGAGCTAGGATTACAGGCGTGAGCTACAGCGCCCGGCCTCTTTGTCAGGTTTTTATATCAGGATTATGCTGTCCTTTAGTAAGCTGGGGCATGTTCCTCTTTTCTTTATTCACTGAAAGAGTTTATGTAACATTGGTAATGTCCTTTCTTAAATGTATGTTTTGAAGAATTTACAAGTGAAGTCATCTGGACCTGGATTTTTTTTTTTCGACTGAGAAAAAGCATCTTGAAATCTTGATTTTTATTTTCTCATTGTATTTTTTTCCTTAAGATGTTTGTAGTCCTCCAGAAGAAGACAGCTCTCAACAATGAGATCTTTTTCAATCACTTCAAGGAAAATAAGGCGAAGATAGCAAGTGCAATAACAAAGCTGTTTCCTTTCCTCGAAAGCCTCAGAGACCGCTCTTTTATCACCAATAAAATCTATACTGTAAGTGAAGTTTATTGCATTGCCCCATGGTAATCCAGCCCCCTAGTAATTTATGTTTAGCCTCTTGGATTCAAAGTTTAGTATGTCGCAAACTGCCTAAATGGCCTTTTATGCCTTTCACGGGAAGACTCTTTTCTGTTAGGTAATCATCCTGTAAGGTGCAAAGTGACAGGGCAAACAGATGTCATTGAAGATATTTCTATTTCTTTCTTTTTTTTTTTTTTGAGACAGAGTCTCACTCTGTTGCCCGGGCGGGCTAGAGTGCCGTGGCATCAGCCTAGCTCACAGCAATCTCAAACTCCTGGGCTTAAGCAATCCTCCTGCCTCAGCCTCCCGAGTAGCTGGGACTACTGCCCGCCACAGCCTTCCAGAGTGCTAGGATTACAGATGTGAGCCACCGCACCGGCTAGCTACTCCTGTTTCTAACTGAAGCCCTTCTCTTTTGTAGCAAGTGTTGGGGTGGAGTGGATGGTGACGGTGAGGTGGCTGTATTGAAACTGGTATGCTCTGCAAATGCATAGTGATTTATACAACATCACAAAGTAAAATTAAGAGAATTAGGAGGACCGGAGCAGTATTTTATTATAATGTCCACTTATGTCAGGTGCAATCCCTGGGGGAATTCATGCCATTATAAAATGAATTTCTGCCTCCCTGTTGTCTCCTCCAAAGTGTTTACATTTCGTTAGATGACTCTGGAGCTGTGGAATTCAAGTAAATTTGATCAACAGACACTCCTGGAGACATAGGGAAGCAAGCCGGCTCCTCAGTGTGTGGCTGTGCTCATCCTTTATGTTCTTTACAGCAAGGGCAGAACCATTTCCCCAATTCCTGCAGCCCATACAGGACTTCTCATACCCTAGGGGGAAGGGGGCAATGGGGGCAGCAATTGCTGTGCAGTCAACAGAATATCTGTCCTATCCATTCCTGAAGCAGCCTAGGTGGGATGAAAGTTCAAAAGTCAAAAGGAAGGGTTTGCTTGTTTTTTTAAGCAGTGGATCAAATATATTAGAAGTTCTAAAATGTTACATGAAAAATAGTAGTCCACCTGCACGGAGAAAACGGAGCAAGTATTCTATGCAATTACTTCCTGGATCTCTGTTTAACTTTGAAACTGTTATTTTGTACTCTTTTTCCATTGAACTTTCAAAAAGGATTCTCATGAAGCCTGCATAAACTTGGTTCCTGTGCCGAGGGTGGTGTACAATGTTCTCTGCCACCTCGAGAAGAGATTTGATTGTTCACTTCTAGAAGTCCTGTTCAGCAGGGTTAACCTGAAGGAATATCCTGATTTAATTGAGATTCACAAAAGCTTCGAAAATGGTAATCAATTCTCTCCCCTCTCTTTTGGGGTCCAGGTCTACTTTTCATTCATTCATTGGCTCAGCCCCTCACTTAACAAGTATTCATGAAATGCTTATGTGGCCCAGGCCCTGAGCTAGGCAGTGTGAATATAACTGAGCTGGTGCCTTGGCCTCCCCTCACTGGCAGCCCCCTGGGTCCCTGCTCCAGGCATCTGGGAACACCCCTCAGTATCACAATACGACTTGCTTGGAGCTTCCTGATAGTCCTTCCTTTGTTCCTTGGATCTAGGGAAGTCTGTCTAGCTCCTCCATGGTATCCTCTGTCTTTGGGGACCTCTCACCCTTCCTGATCCAATTAAGCGAAAACTCTCCTCTTTTCTAGCCCCACCTTTAAGATTGTTGGGCTTTCTCTTTTACCTACATGGATCTTTCTAGGATCCTCTGTTTCTTCCCTAAAGTTTGTGCAGTTCACAGAGACACGTCACTTACAGAACTTATATTGAGATAAGCTTTCATTCCTCTCTGATCATCTTCTTGGATGATTAATTATTATTTACAATTTTTCCACTGATCTATCATCCTTAAAAACCAAGAGGCTCACCACCTGTAAGATTTCAGTGTTTTTTTGTTCTTTTTTTTTTTTTTTTTTTAGCCCCGTTCTTGGGTGTCCCGGGGTAAGGGACCAACCGAGAAGCTAGTCAGATTCAGACTGACTCAAGGGCTAGGAGTTCCCCATTGAATTATAAGAATACATACATGCTCCTTCTGTGTAATCATGAGGTGGTGTCCCTGATCAAAAAGAAGGCAACAATGAGATTCTTGATTTGCTTCTTGCTTCCTAGTGCATCACTTTTGTCTCTGGTTGTATCTTTCCTTTTGTATTTGCTTGTTCTGTTTCACGGAGGTGCTCCAAGAGTCCGCTCTCAGGTGGGGTTGTACCTAAACCATGTTTGTTTCATGGATATTCATTTTCCCTCCCTATCTCTCCTTGTCCCCTCCACCACCACAGCATGGGCCACCACTGGATGGAGGCACAGCACTAAGTCAGCAGCCACAGTCAAGCAGACACAGGCAGAAAACTGTGAAGCAGGCTCATGAGTAAAACACCAGGCCCAGAGCCAGCAGGAACTGGCAGCAGGTGTGTCAAAGGAGTATGGAAGAGGAACCCCCCAGGCAACCAGAGGATAAAAGACCTGTTATTTAAATCCTGAACTGAAGCACTGCAGATGCAAAGATTGAAACTATGGGCAATCCGTTACACGAAGGCAGCCCCACAGCACACCAGAACAGGATGAGGCAACAAAGGAAAGAACAGTCAACAGGAACAGACCAGTGGAAAAGGAGGAATCCGAGTGTGGTCCAGGCAGGCTTGGCAAGGAGTTTCACCAGTTCCTGGGGAAGATATTAGAAGTTTATTTCAGAAATTAAGTATGGGTTTTGCTATTTTCCCTATCCCTTTTTAATCTTTATAGTGTAAGAGTTAAAGACCCTCTAATGTTCAGTGCAGAGCCGTTGGGACTGGCAGATCAAGGAGGTCAGACACACCCCAAGCTGAGAGCCTCAGCCAGGCCACTCGCACTCTGGTAATGGCCATGACTTGTCTTAACATCCCTGGCCCAAATGAACCTGCCTTTGTCCCAGAACTGCCCCTGTCTCAGTTCCTGCCAAGTCATGGTCACCTTGGCCCCACCACCTTTCGTACCTGCCCATCCCCATCTGTTAACTCTTTCCTGTGGACCTTTCCATGGGCTTTAGCATCTGATGTGCCTCCACTTCCTGCAGCTCTTGCTATTCTTTTCTCTGTATTAATCTCTTCATAAAGAACCATTTGTGTTCCATGTTTCTGCTCTTTCTGTTAGATTACTTGGGTAGCAGCACAGGGTTAAGACACACTCTGGGTCAGAACCTGGTTCATCTTTGCTCATCTGACCCTAGGCAAAATCCACATGTGGTCTCCTAGATTTCAGTTTCCTTATCTGCAAGACTGCACATAAGTAATACCAATACTAATAGTGTGAGCACTCCACCTGCAACTGCCACAGAGCAGATGTTCTCAAAGTGAGCTGTTGGTAATATGGTTCTATTTGTTGCCCTTTACCCCTTTCACTCTTCATTTCCTCCTTTCTCCTCTCTTCTTCTCTCACTCCTCTCCTCTCACTTTTTCTCAGAGTTCCACATCTTCTTCATATCTGCATCCCGTCTGCCCGGTCTCTCTCTACATGGCTGCCTTTCTCTGTGAATATTCTTGTCTTGAACACCATCCCCTACTTAAAAGCTCCTTCTCCATCACCAAGGATCTCTCCTTTGACGTGTTTGGCCACAGCCCACCATTCCTAGCCCTCACAGCTCCACACTGAAGGTCTCCTAACTCACTCTCAGATTCTGATTCCACCTCCAGTGATTGGGCAGAAAGTCTCTCTTTGCCACCTCCCCAAAGTGCTCTCGGATTCCACTGGAGGCAGGTCACTTTGGAATCAGTGCAAAGTGACCCTCGTCTACCTTCCCACACCCCTCCAGCACGCTCCCCAGCAGGAGGGCAGTCTGCCCTCCAGAGTGCAGGTCTCTGTCTCCTTTCTCTTAGTAGACCAGAGAACAAAGCTTTTGTCCAGTCATAATTACCTCTTTCACAGTTTGGCTGAATGCTGTGCATTTTTGTGTTCCTCTTTCCATCACTTTTCTGGGGAGAATATTTGTCTTGGAGCACTGAACACATAAAAATATTAATTAGAGTCTCAGGCAAGT